GGTTTCAAGTGTCCAAGTCTATAATACATCATCTGTATATTGTATTGTACACTCACCATCCAAAGTCTGTTCTCCCTCTGTCACCATTTATCCCGTTTACCCTCTTCTGCCTGCCCCCACCCCCAAGGGGTAACTCTTAAAAGTAAAAAATTATTATAATTTTAAAAAATATTTTGGAATCAGCTCACAAACGTGCCTGATTATTTGGGCCGTATACACACTTCCTACAGAGGTCCTTATTCTCAAAGCTCTAATGGAAGTCATGGAAAGGTTCAGAAGCGTAAGTAAAATAAAAGCATGGTAAAGAAAATGTGATTTGTTGAGAATTCTAGAGCAGAGATGTGTGCTACCTCTAGCCTGGCTTTCGCTATTTAACTTCAGTTTATATTCTTCATGACAGTATAAGTTACATCAAGGGACCGTCTCAGCCACTTTGTTCATTTCCCTTTGCTGGTGGCTGCATGTTAAGAGATGAAGTGTGCTCCCATCAAGGCCAATTTGATGTGGATGTCCTTGGGACGGAAATAACTAGGTCAGGTTTTATTGGTGGCCTGACCTGGGACTGAGGTAAGTGAGCAATCCAATTAATGTTCTGACACGACAAAAGTAACATGTGGTCAAAGGTGGGGTCAGGGGTGGAGTGTGGTGATTTATTCAGGGCTACATATAATCACGCACATCTGCCTTATAGCCAGATGGAAATAAATCCAAATGATGTCTAATACAACGGAGAGGAAAGATCAGCATACATATAAGCAGACACTGTGAATACCTATGCTGAAAAGGAAGCTTTGGTCATTTGTGTAAGATTGTACCCTGCTTGTATCTTACTCAAATTTCGAAGCATGGGCTAAGCTCTGCCTCCACCAGGGAGGCGTCTCAGCCCAGCTCTGCCTCCATCGGGGAGGTGTCTCGGCCACATCACCAGCTTCCCCCTCTCGGCATCAGTGCCTTATGTGTTCTCACTGCATCTATGTACTGTCTTGGGTTCACGTCTGTTGCTTCTGTACTGGTCTTACCTGCCAAATGGGACGTAAAGCTGCTTAACAGTAGAGATCATATTTTAAAATTTTCTTTGTCTCCCTATGGTACCTAAATGCCCCTCACTCCACAGAAGGTACCTGAATGAGCAACTGTGTTCAGAAAGTAGGAACAAAGCCTGGATATCTGGTGTAAATGAAACATAATCAAGTGTGAGTTCATAGGTACCATGGGGTTAACGTCTTTGTTGACTGTAGACTGACTTACTTTTGACAATACAGAGTAAGAAAACCATCAACGCTGTATGAACTCCTCGGCCTGCTTGCTCCGTGCCCCAGTCTCACAGAGATGAGGAGGCTGGAGAGCGACCCCTGAGATGGCTTCCACCTCCAGGGGCCATGAATTCCCCACCTGCCTGTCCTGTGGACACTCCCCGGCCCAACACATCAGCGAGCGTGCGGGGTGACACGATCCCACTCCGTGCACAGGCGGGCTGCCGGGGCCCTGAGGACCTACCCCCAGCTCGGGCCCGCTGCGGTCGGGGATGATGTCGTGGATGTTCCGGTAGTAGCCCAGGCACAGGGTGGCGCAGCGCACCAGGGCGCCCATGTACAAGGAGAGGATCGGGATGAGCAGCGGCTCCCGGCACTCCAGGTGGCTGTGCAGCAGGATGGCCACGAAAACGACCTGCGAAGGGAGGCGAGAACGGGTCAGAGGGGGGAGGACAGCACCAAGCAAGAGGCACGGCCCGACTGCCCGCACCCGGAGGGGGCTGATTTCGGAGCGGAAACCTCCGTGTCGATGAGAAAGAGGAAGAAATTGGGCTGCGGCTCCACGCTGCTCTGGCGGAACTCAGGGCCAGACGCCTGGGAGTCACAGGGCGAGCACACGATCATTGTCACGTTCACCACCAGGATTCTTTGAAGGCAACTGCACATCTGGTTAAGGCTACTGCTAAAAAATATCTACAAATGTTGGCTTCCCAGACCCCAAAAGATACATTAGAGCTTTTCCCTCTGAGGCTGGATACTGAAGTGCACATATAATCCACACCTGAGGACCTAAGTAACTTTACACACACACACACACACACACACACACACACACACACACTCAGTGGTGATCAATGACAGTATACAGAAAAGTAGACATTAGCGTTTATAAGATGGAATTCACTAAAAATGCTACAAAAGCACCCATATTAGTTATTATAAAACAAGCTAAGTTTAAAATATTAACTTATAAAAATGGAATTGGCAAAAAATAGGCAAGAGGGATATAAGCAATAATAAAGTCTCTAACACAAATATAATAATATACTTAACTTCCCTGTCCTGCAGAAATCTGCAAAGCAACCCAGCCTCTGTCTAGAGTCCTGGGACCCACACGTTCAGAAGACCACTGAGGTGTACTGAGTGTAAAAGTTGGGTAATGGGCAAGGGGGGGATAGCCCTGAGTTACACCAACCTTAATAGCCAAATATCCACCAAATGATAGGCATGTAAAATACACCACCACTGAGTCATCCTGACCAAAGGAGGCTTATCCCAATCACTGCATTATCAAGAAATCAGTGATGAAAGAAAGTTAAAAATGAAGCTGGAGGCTGAGCATGATCCATTGAATGAGCACATTCATTGCCATAGTGACCACAGAAAAGCAAGGTGGTCCAGAGAAACTTTTCTGAATGAAATAAAAGTGTTATCTATAGAGGTGATTTGCTCATAGCACAGGCTGGCACTTGTGCCCAGGCTGTAGTTTCAAACCCACTAAATGGATCAGACCCCAGCACAGATGCCCTTGAGGGGTGGACAGAGGTACTGTGTGGCTGCGTAGACACACCAGGCTGCTCGAAGCACACATGATGTGAGCAGACACAGGTTGGGGTGGCACTCAAAGCCACACTCATGCTCATGCTCTTCCAGGATACAGCAGAGTCCAAAGACAAAAGCAGAGATGCCCATGGCTGTCGCCATGACTGTTGCTTCCCAGTAGAACAACTATCCTGTTGACTAAAAACTGCAGAGACCAACTGGGGAAACCTTGTGAAGAATCCATTGTGTTTGGATCAGAAGATTGAGAGTTTTGTGCTGGGGCCAAGATGCCCACATATTTCACTAATGAATTAGGGGCATTTAAGGTGCCCTAACATGCAAACTCAGACTAGTATGTCTACAGCAAGCATAACATCAGACACATGCAAACCTACAGTGAAAACTGAGATGGTCAAATTTAGAAATTTAAAGCTTGCATGAAAAATGAATAGGTGAAGGCCAATCCTTTCTCTGCCAAGTCCAGGAAGGCTTCTGGGGCCATCAGGACGGCCATGCAAGACCAAAAAGGAGGATCTGGACTTGAAGGAATAGGGAGCCACAGGCACAGACATAAGTGTGGAGATGACAAGAAAATGGTCTGAGGAGCACGGTGGGCTAGAGCGGGGTGGAGGGGCAGGAGGCTGCATTCAGCCAGCAGTGCTCCTGAGGTCAAGGTGAAGATTTCGTCAGTCTCTCCCATCTTTTTAATGACTTGGTGCCATGTGGTCCAATACTTATCATAGCCCTCACATCTTTCATGGTAGATTGTATCATTTATCAATTTAAAACAGCCCCTGAGCCTTTGCGTTTCAATCCAGAAATACGATTTTGAATCTGACATAGCCGTCAAAGAATGTTGGATTATTTTCTGAGGGAAACCTACTGTCTCAGTGCCGAGGGTTTTCCCAGTGAGAGCCTGTTATGTGCTGGCCCCATACTAGGTTCTGAGGAGTCAGCGATAAATCACAGTCCCGGGCTCTGTAATCTTGGAGCTGACAGTCTGGTGGAGAAGACAGAAATGTTGATCAAACAATGATGCCAGCGAGCGACCGCTGACACACTGTGACAAGGCCTGAGAGGGAACGAGGATGGTGGCTAGAGAGCCAGGCTGTGGGGTAAGGGAGGGCGCCCCAAGTGGAGTGTGTCTGAGACCTACTGCCTCAGCAGAAGCAGAGGGGGGAGGTGGGGAGTCAAGGGAGGCGGAGAGAATTGAGGCAAACACTACCTTCTGGGCAGAGGGATCCGGGCAAAGACCCCAGTGGGAGGGGGCTGGGCCACACCGAGGTCCAGAAAGGAGGACCTGCAGCTGGAGTGCCGAGAGCAAGGGGACAAGAGGCCAGTGCCCGCTGGAGAGGAAGCGGGGACCATGGGTCTTCAGCCCCATGCAGGCCATGATCAGGACTTTGGCTTTTATCTCATGAACACCAGGAAGCGATTTTAAAGCAGGTTCCAGGCAGGGGGTGAGGTGGCTGGAATTTCACTGAGAATAGATCACCGTGGCTGAGGAGGGAAGGATGGAGAAGAGCCAGGGCAGAAAGGAGGAGCGTTAGGACGGCTCAGGTAGTGCTGGTGACAGGGGTGATCCCTTGGACCAGGGCGAGCACAGCAGAGATGGGGAGAAGAGGGTAGGAAAAAAAAAAGTCTAGGGTTAAAACTGAAAAGACTTGGTGATGAGAAGGGATGCTCTAGGGTGGCTCTCAGGTGTGTGACCAGATCCGTGGGATCTAGCTGACTTCAGAGGGCAAGTGCTGCCCAGGCCAGGTAGCCCAGTTGGTTAGAGCGTCGTCCCAATATGCTAAGGTTGCGGGTTTGATCCCTGGTCATAGCATATACAAGAATCAACTAATGAATGCATAAATAAGTGGAACAACGAATTGATGTTTCTCTCTCTTTCAAATCAATCACTAAATTAAAAAAATTTTTAAAAAGAAGGCGAGGGTTGATGACAGCAGAAAGGTTAAAGGGCTGGAGATCCCAGGGAAGTCCAACAACCAACCTCAAGAGAATTCTCATTTTGATATTGAGAAAGCGAGGGACAGCCAGGTGATTGTGATATTAAACAAACACAGCAACATTTTTCATAAATCCCTTGGCAATATAATTTTAACATATGGCTATTACAATAATAGTGGCACAGAAAAGCACTGCGTGTTTGAACCAAACCAAGAGGCTTTTTTTGTACTACCACGTGAAATCAATTAACTTAGTAAAAATTTTTTAAAAATAGGAGTTACCACTGCAATCCAAAGCATTATCAACTATTTTCCTTTTACCACTGGTGATTACTTGCTATCTATGCCATAGTAGTATTTCAAAGGACTTTGCCTAGGATCTATTTACTTACTATCAAATTCAGTAATTAACAAATGCTATCAGGTAATAAGAGGAATGAAGCTGA